AGTAGGAGTGGTAGTGGCAGTGGTAGTGATACGCAGTGGCAGTGGTCGTGGTAGTAGTAGTGGTAGCCTTAATGGTAGTGGTAGTGGTAGCGGTAGCAGTAGCGGTAGCAGTAGTGGTAGCAGTAGCGGTAGCAGTAGTGTTAGCAGTAGCGGTAGCAATAGGTAGCGGCAGTGGCAGCGGCAGTGGTAGTCTTCCTCATAGTAGTGGTGGTAGAAATAGTAGTAGCAGCAGCAGCCGAAGTAGCAGCAGCAGCAGTAGCAGCAGCAGTAGCAGCAGCAGTAGCAGCAGCACTGCCAAACCCTAAAGCCTAAAGACCAAAATGTCTTGGACAATGGAATCTGGAGTTGCGAACCCTGAACCTCTAAACTCTAAACCTTGAGGCCCTGAAACCCCCGCTGTTTCAGATAGGTGACTGCGCGTAGGATCCGAGGATGGAGAACACCTCCAGAAGCTTGGCTCGTTTGGTTGTGTAGTCGAAGCCACTCAATTGGAACATGGGTTTCGGGTTTAGAGCTTAGAGTTTACGGGTTTAGGGGCTAAATTTCCCTTCATCCCAGAAGAGTGGTATGAGCGGATTGCTAGCAATTCCACCTTTCTGGCTGCCCCAAGGTGGGATGAAGGTAGGTGGGAGACTTGTGGGAACCCCAAGTCAGGGCATCATACATCCGTCCACTCGACGATTTGTCAACTGAGAGTTTCCGGTGGCTTGGTGATTTCAAATTTGGGTTCACTGTAGGGCTTTAGGACGTCAGGGGTTAATGGGTTCTAGATGTCACTTGATTTGTCTGGATGCGCCTGACCGCTGGTAAAGTTTACGGCGTTTGGGGTTAGGGGAATCTGTCGTGAGCAGCAGTGGCATTGCTCTTGGGATTTGGGCTTGCCACGACTGTGCTGGTCTGGGTTCATTAGGCAGTCTCGATGCCCGCTCACCACGGCCAACTGAGCTTCTCATGTACTTGTCTCAAACCTGAACCCTAAACCTACCCCTTCAACCCTCAAAGCCTTATAAACCCTACACCGCACAACTGGAAAATCTGTGTGCTGAAACCCCCCTGTCGGCAAGAAGCATGTGGGGCCGAAAGTTCAAGCATTCCTCGTTGCTTCGTGTGTCAGATCTCGAAGCTGAAGTTGTAGAGTTTGGGGGTCTGGAAACCTGCTTGAAGAGTCTTGTGTTTACGGTGTTTAGAGGGCTAAAGGGCTGAGCCAAACAGAACCGCTTCTTGATATGTCATCTGTCATGCAGAAGAGGGAGGGCAATGCAGTAGAGTTACTTGATTCTTGTCTACTTCATGTGGTCTTTAAACCCTAAACCCTACACCCGGTGTCACTGAGCCAGAATCCTGAGCGCCATGGCTAGGATTTTCAGCACGAGTGTGAACGTTTCCGCGATTTCGGTTGAATGAATGACCGTTTTCTTCTCATGTTAAGATGTTCGCTGGCTTTGTAGCTCTCGTTCTTGCTAGACCAGTCTTGGGACTGTTCTCGTTCTTACACCTTTAACTATTAACAACATTGGCGACAGTACGGCTATTACAGCCGTTTCATGGTCATTGGGGACCACGTCTCAACCGGAATAAGCACGGCTGGCTTTCGTTCCTCACCCAAGCATGCACCGCGCTGCCTGCCGTGCGTTCATCGTCGCAGCATAGGCCAAAGCGCCGAACTCTTGAACCTGCCCGGGTTTCTATCACCTGTCTTATCGCTGCCAGCATGGTGCTCATCCTGAATATGATTGCCATCAGCGGTATATATACATATGGTACCATACCATACATATATATATATATATGGGTGGTTGTCAAAATTCTGGTCCCTTTTTGGGTCCTTATTATAATACGGCACCTATTATTCAAGGTACCTCAAAAAGTACCATAATTTTGTCAACTACCCATATGACTCTATCTAGCATTTCTATTGTGGCTTGTGCGGTTAAGGCATCAGGACGAGATTCGGGATCAAGGAAGGTGGTTGCTGGGTTCGGATCCGATGGCGCTGAGACGCTTGAGGGTGTTGGCTGAGGAAGTTTTATTTAAAGTAACGCTAAACCCCAACCCCTAACCCTTAACCCATAAAGTGCTGAAGCCGTACAAAACCTCAACCCGCAACAAAAAATCTGTCAAACAACGAAATCCCTGAATTCCTGGACAAATCTAAAGTCATCAGCGTTAAGGATTCGGGCGCATCCTCAAAACAGCTCCGGGATCTTGCTAGGGAGCTGTACAGTCTTTGCAAAGGTTGCGGAAAAGGTTTCTGAAGTAGCTTTACACTACTACCTTTCTACTTGCCTTCACAAGAGGCACCCATCCCTAATCCCTGTAAGCATGCATTTCCTGGGCAAAATGCTGAGAGCCGTAAACTCTAAACCCCTGTTCTGGTAACTAGGAGAACCATTGGGTTTATAGAATTTAGGGTTTAGGGTTTAGGGTACGAAGGCCTTGGGGATTATTGGTTTCAGGGTTCAAGATTCGGAGCATGGCGTTTGGGATCTCAGGCTCTGTGGATTAGGGCTTCATGTAGGGGCCTCCATCGTTAGAATAGGGTTTTGGGGGTATATTATACCATAATTGTAGCCAGGAGCCCCCAAAAACCCTATTCTAATTATTGAGGCTCCTAAACCCTAAACCCCTATAGTAGCCCTTATGGAACCCTTTAAAGGAACCCTCTAATTATCAAGGCCCCTACATTAACTTGAAGTGCACGACTTAAGACCTGAGGCTTGGGGGTACGGGGGTTTTCAAGGCCTGAGCCTGAGCGCTGCTCCGTGTTGAAGCATGTGCTTTAGGGTTTAGGGTTTAGGGTTTAGGGTTTAGGTTAAATCGCATCTATGGCGCAGGGTGGAGGGCGGTAGCCTTACGCGCATCTCTCATCCCCGCAGCGGGAAGTTACGCAAAAGCTTCTGGCCCTAATGCCTTTCTACACAAAGTTGTGCCATGTCGTTCATTCTGAGACCCTAAAACCAAAAACGTAAAACCCAAACCCCCACTTTGGAAGCCCCAGAAAAAAGAAAACTGCTTAAAACCATACAAACGCTCCGACAAGACGATATTGCGGCATCTGCCTGCGCGTAGATGAAGAATTGGCTGACGACGGCCTCGGTTCAGTGGTGGCGCAGGTGCTTCGGCTCTGCAGCCCGTGAGTTTAGCGGTTTAGGAGTTCAGGGTTTAGGGTTTGGGGTTTCTCGAGTGCTGTGTTTGTCAGTGCTTTATGCACATGTCTGCATGACCGGTAGCAACTATCCCCTCTCAGCCCCATACAGTTCTACAAGAAAGTGCACAAAAGCCCAACTCCGATATCTGCCACGGTTTGGGGATGCTGCTTCTGCTCTCTCTAGCCATGCAGCACTTCCTCTTGCCTGGGCTTCCGATGTAGTACCCCAAACCCTACACCCTAAACTCGGCTCTGTCTTCTGAAGAAACAGCCCTTGATCCCGTTTTCCAGGTGCTTTAAGATTTAGGGGTTGAGGTTCTTCGGGTTTTTAAGGGTTTAGGGGTTTAGGGCTTCAGGGATTCTTAGGGTTTCAGGATATTTAGGGTTTAGGGTCTTAGGGTTTTAGGGTTGAGGGGTTTAGGGCTTCAGGATTCTTAGGGTTTCGGTTCAACTCCAGAACCCACCCAAACAAATCCCGACTTATCGGAGACTCAGTCTCGATGCCAGCACAGGAGACTCTCAAGCCTGAACGACGGAGCCCCAGAGCCCAAAAAAAGCCTCACTCCTGGACGATGCGCTAAACCCTAAACCCCTAAGACCCTAAAACCCTAAAACTCTAAGACCCTAAAACCCTAAGACCCTAAACCCCAAAACAGCTCATCTGCATCGCTAGCAGTAACATCGACTCATTGCTGAACCCATGAAACCATCAGAAATCTTAATACTTGGAATAAGGTGTTGGGGCTTATTGTACTATCATCATAATAAGGAACACCAAAATAGTGTAGGTAAGTGTTGTGGCCCCCATAATACCAGAATACTTCAATGAGGCTTGTGCACGTCGGCTGATGCCTCGTCACTCGTCAGCCCTCACTGAAGCCTAAACCCTGAGCTCCTGCAGACGACTCCGAAACAGACAACCCACCACCGCAACCCATCGACGCCCCGATGTAGGCCACTGGAGTCGAGGGTTTGGGGTTTAGAAGTTTGTTTAGGGTTTAGGGTTCAGGGTTTAGGGTTTAAGGTTCAGGGTTTAGGGTTTAGGGAATTTGGAATTTAGGGTTTAGGGTTTAGGGTAGATCAGACCCTTATACCCTGAGACCCTTGGCTCCCCTAAGCTTCCAGGACCCCAATGTCCTGAACCCTAAACCCTAAACCCTAAACCCTAAACCCTAAACCCTAAACCCTAAACCCACAGGGAGCCGGCGGAGGAGGACAAGACCACGGTGTCCTCGGCTCTCTGGGCCATTTGGTTTCCGAAAATAGGGGACCCTAATATAGCACCCTAAACAGTAGGATCTATTATAAGGACCCCAAAATAAGGGTACCCCTAAATTTCTGAAACTCCCATTTGAAAAGAGGGCGGTCTAGGGTCTTTATCCATGTGAGTCACACAAAAACGGCAGCAAATTTCGAGTTTAATATAGGGGCCTTAATCGGGTTTTTGGGCCCATTATACTATAATCATGAATAAGCAACCCCCAAAATACTATAGGTAATTCTTTCGGCTTCTACATTAGGAACTTTTTGGTTTGGGGTCTAAGTTTGAGGACACCGATTGCAGGTACCGCTCGCCACGAACCTCCCAACCCGGTCTGCCCTTCACCTCTCGATCACCTCTGCCCTAAACCCTAAACCCTAAACCCTAAACTGCTGGTGGGGTTTAAGCCTTGCTGCTCCTGGTTTGTAACTCCTGCGAACCTAGGCTTAACCTGACGATGTGAAACAGGAACCTCATTAAGAGACATTGGGTCTTGTTTGAGGTTCTTTATGAAAGGAATCCTAGTATTTCGAGGCTAAAGGGCCAGGCTTTCTTGCTTAGTTCCTACCTTTTAGCCTGAGGCTTCCGCTCCAGGTGGTCAGGCTGTCAGCGCCAAAAGCTACGGAACTGAAGCAGTTGAACATTCAGAGACCACACAGATGCCTTCGGGAGTTCATACGCAACTCTACCCATATTCATACTTCCCTACATTAGCCGCTGGGGATTGGTTCCAGGGGTTTGGGCTGCAGGAAATTCAACGAAGCCCTCAAATTTTGGCTCTCTGTGCGACGAGAGAGCTGTCGCAAAGACGTGATGTTGGAACAGGAAGTCGAGAGACGGCCTTTGATGCTTTGGAGGTTTGGGGCACTGGCTTTAGGGCTTCGGGTCTAGAACTTAGGGTATAGAGCTTAAGGTTTTGGGGCTTAGTGTTTAGAATGGCCTGTGATGGTTATAAGCCGACGTGGCCTGGAAACTAACATCGGGGCTTGTGGAGTTCATTATACTCAAAGCCCCCCGGGCCCGGACCAGCAAAGGGCTTTGGGTTTAGGGTTTAGGGTGCATCATAAGCTCGAAAATCCGCACCCCGACTACAAAAAGTGCAGCGGTGGGCTTTCCGGCTTTGACGGCACAGGATTGAACGGCTTCTCCTTTTCGGGCCTCTAAAACAGGACTTGGCTGATAGACTACGCTTGAGAATATGCACGGCCTGGCCTGGGGGGTTCGCTTAGCTAGAAGCCTTCAGATATGGGAGTTTCCGAAAACAAGGGGTACCTTATTTTGGGGTCCTTATAATAAGGATCCTACTATTTAGGGTACTATATTAGGTCCCCTATTTTGGGAAACCCCCATATTTCGGGCAGTGGGAGGAGGGCCGGAAGGTCATGGAAGTGTTCTTAATAGAGGGCTATCCTAGGGTTTAGGGTTTAGGGTTTAGGGTTAAGGGTTTAGGGTTTAGGTCACTAGAGGGCTACAGTTTAGGATTTAGAGTTGCTGCTAAACTTCATTGGGCCTACCACCGGGCTTGTCTGACTAGAGTTTGACTGGAGAACAGGTTTCAAAGCTTCATTCTATGTTGCAAAAGCTCCAAACCCTAAGTAGGGTTTAGGGTCCGGCAGTCCCTCAGCCCTCAGAAAGCCCTGTCTACTAACCGAACCCTACTGTAGGAAGATTCAGAAACCCTGGCCCTTCAACCCCACAAAATTACGGCTCATATATAAAGAACGCTAATAAACACCCCCGAAGTGTCTTAATCAGGTTAGTAACAACCACCAGCCCGAGGGACAGGAAGGCGCCCTCGGCGAGGAGGAGAAGGCCCGTGATGATGCAGGAGCACGCGTTCACGTAGAGCCACCTTGGAGAAGGCTTGGGGGTCTAGGGCTTCGGGTTTAGGGTTTGGGGTTTACGGTTTAGGGTCCAGGGCATTGGTGTTAATTGGAGTTTGGGGCGTGGGGATTTAGGGCTAAGGGTTGCCACTTAGGGCTGCTCTTTGAAAGAGCTTTTCTAGCATCTCCCATTTGGAGAGGGCTTAAAGTCTGGGGTGCAGGGCCCAAGGGCCTACGGGCCTCAAGTCCAAGCCAAGGCCAAGGTTTTAGGGCTAAGGGTCTTGAACCCATGGATTCTGACCGATGTAACACTAGCACTAAATGGGGGTTTCCGAAATTTTCCGAAAATAGGGGACCCTAATATAGTACCCTAATTAATAGGATCCCTATTATAATGACCCCAAAATAAGGTACCCCTAATTTTCTGAAACTCCCAAATCAACGACGTGAGAGTGATGATACTGGTAGACACGGGTTTCCCAGAGCTGATCTTCATCAGCCCACGGCATGGTCGCGCCTCATGGAACATGTACACAAATTACCCTGCTAAACACCAAACCCCCCCGGAACATGTGAATGTTGAAACCCTAACCCGCAACCAAAAAAAAAAACAAACATCAAAGCAAAGCTAGGTGCCTACCAAGATGCTGATTCGACCTAGTAGTTTGGTGCTCCTCGGAAATGCCGTGATTTTCTCTGAGGGCTCGGCTCTGCGGCGTTTTGCATGGGGGGTTGCTGCTTTGAGCTATGGTCGCTGCACAGCTCTTCTCATGACGGATGGTCCTATCAGAAGTTCGTACATAATGGGTACACCACGCCAAAACCGGCACAACCTCAGTTGGGGGTTTGGGATTTACGTGTTGGGAAATAACATCTCAAAGTTCAGAGTCCAGGTAAGTGATCTGAAAATAACATGCTCCTCAATTTGAAGACCCAAAAGTACAGGAACCTAAAACCTAGAATCTAAACCCTAAACCCAAATCATATGCTCCACATTCGCGGAGCCATGTAAAGGAACCGCAAGTGCTCAGAAAGCCCCCGAGTGTAGGTGTTCCAGGAAGTTCCAGGCCGTAGGGGAGGCTTCGGAGGCTTCGTATCAAGTCCGGGTTGGTTCCTATGACACTTCATTTAAAGGGTTCCTTTAAGGGTTTGTCTAAGCATTAATTCAATTTCTCCTAAAAGGGCCCCTGAGTGCATCAACACGAAACCCTGGACCTTGAATCTCTAATGGTTGATATAGGGAACTTAATAATAAGAATAGGGTTTTGGGGCCGAACATACTATAAACATAATGAGGAAACCCCAAAATAGTAGTGGTAATTCTTTAGGCCCATACATTAAAGCTCAAGACATTGAAGCCTTGAAGACCTTGGAGCCTTTACCGCAACCCTATTCGAGGCTGCTGCTACAACCCTTATGACAGCTAAATAACTCCAAGACTGACAGACTGACGGCCCTTTAATCTTCAGTAACACTTATGCAAAAAAAAAAACGTAAACCCAACAAACAAAGCAGCTGGCCTTGAAAAGCTTCTCCTGAAGCGACGAGGTCAGCCCGTCCTTCGCTGTGCTTGGTTTAGGGAAGGGTTCTATTCGGCTACGGATTTTGGGTTTAGGGTTTAGGGGCTCGTTTAAGCGTTACAGGTCTAATTGGAACACTGTTCTGGATTAGCTTCACTCAATATAACTCTTTGGAGGAACCCCCGCGGACTAGAATAGCTGAGTGTCCCTATGTTGTGTAAAGGGAAGGTTAGGGATTCCTCTTGTGGGGTTCTAACGATTCGGTTGCGCCTTACATAATTGGATTCCATGCAGATCCTCCAAGCAGGGGTCGGCACATTTAACACATGTTGAGATGTGAGATTTAACACTGAGGGCTGAGGGCGGTACCTTGAAACCCAGCAGGCCGGGTCAGAGACATGTTGCCGAAAATCTGGGCCGCAAATCCCTGAACCTGAAAATTCAAGACTTGTTAAACTTTTGAGGTCTACTTGGAGAATCTAGGAACTTAGTCGGTAAGGTTATCAGCATAGAAGCTACGTGTAATTATGAGCCTAGTTTCCGGGTGCTGCATTTTTTATACCCTTAGCTACCAAATCCCATGACCTTACTATGATTACTACTACTACTACT